GGTTTGAAAATTATGACCTCAAATCAAAACTATGGCCATAATACCTGCCTTTACCCTATATTTATCGTAGAATTCTTGTATTAAGCAAATATTATTGTCAAGTGTGCCAAAAATTAGTAAAATTATTAATTTTTTTTCGTTTTTGATATAAATTCGACCAGCATAGTCTAGAATGTGCTGCGTACTTTAATCCCGTAAAAGAGTTTTGCATTTCTATAAAGCCAATTGAAAGATTACTTCTAACAAAGAATGTCGATAAAACAGTCGGCTTTAGGATTCCCTTAAACTGTTCCGGGGCGAGAGGGAGTATCTCGAGACTGCGCATGATTTGTCGAGCTGACTGAAATGTACCTATACTTTGTGTCTCTAATAATATTTTTGCTTGTACGCTTTTTTCAACTCAGCAAACTTCTTGTCGCTGGTTTTGGAACATAGTCCGAAATAGTTTACCGCGAAAGGTATCGCCCCAGCTTACAGGGTTCGAGTCTAGATCTCGCTACAATCCTCACGTGCTTTGACGGTCGAATTGATAAAGATCGTCGCGGACGGGAGGAAGGTCCAGACGCAAACTCTGGTTGGGATGATATCTTTCGCTATACTTAAACTGTTTCGGGTCGAGAGGTTATCCTAAGACCGCGCGTGACGGTTCGTCGAGCTGGAAAAGAAGGAATACGCAAAAATATTGTCAGACACAAAGATCCAGCCTCACCGTACGCTGCTTTAATCGCTCGTGCTATTTTTTATTTATTATTTATCGCGCATATGGGGGAATTCCGGTCATCTCTTGGCGAAACTCCGGGTACGTTTTCTCGCCATATAAACGTCCCTTTAATATCCCCGGGCGTTAAGGGCGTGTGTCGTATTTCTCGCACATTCCTTCCGCAAAATAAGAAAATGCCAAGAACGAGGTAAAGTCCAACGCGCGCGCGTTATTCCGTGCTCTCTCCTTACGAAGGCGGGGGCGCGGAGTGTCTTTACGAAGTTATGCGGCAGCCAGAATGGCCGTTGCAACATTACGAAACGCTAATCCGTTCCGAGGGGGCGGGTGGATTGCGCGCGGCTGGCCTAATTTACGTCGCCGACGGACGCGGTTACGTCTCGCGCTTTTGCCGCCGGCGCTCTCGCATAATGCAACGAGACAGGCTCGCGTCTGCTTTTTGATATATTGCGTGCAGCGGTATCGCACGACGAATCGCGTGGCGTTTGCGAAATAATGTGTGTCCCGATGTGTGTATGCCCGCGTATGTACCGCGAATACACATCGCGGACTATGGCAAAAGCGCGCTAATAACGCGGTGTGTACCGATTATCTCGCGCGCAGGATTATCATTCTGGTAATATTCGATGCGACCCCAAGCCGTACAACCGGAATTCCATTAAACGAAAACGCACGGGTATCCGGGCCACCGGCGGTATTCAAGTTATTAGATTTCCACTATGAATGATCGTCGTGCTTTTTGTTTTCCAAACGCTGCCATTTATTACAGTTACAGTAACGCACACGGTTTCCGCGGTAAATCGCGCCGTTCGTGTGAATCTGCTGTCACTCCGCGATATTACGCGGGTACACAGCCAGCACGATCAAATATCCTGAATTTTTAATGAGCGTAATCCACACTCGCGTAGACGCGGGCCTCGTGAGTTGACGCACGTGTACAATTCTCGTGTGCTCACGGGGCCGCTTCATCGTTTGAGCGCAGTCCTCAATCTCTTGAACGTGGCTTTCGGATAGGTCTTCGGCTTGGCGAGACTTTTCAGACGCTTGGAGCATCTCGCCTTTAACGCCTCCGGCGACACGGTGAAGGCATCCTCTCGGAGATCCGTTTCCCTGCCCGCCGGACGCTGGGCGGGCTTCGCCAGAGCGATTATTCTCTCGGAAGCTACGGCATTAAACGTTATACCGTACGCTGTATGGTCTCAATCCTATCCATTAACATCGGTTTTCCGCCGGCTTATTCTTATCAACGGGCTTAAGGGTGCGAAGCAAGACTAACTGCGCCGCGCTATGAAACAAATTATTTCGCGCAGCTTCCTAACGGCGAATAATCTCGGGCGAATTTCATTTTACATACAAACCACAGCCGCGTGATATTTGTTTGATTAGTTGCTTGGCAGCTTTGTTACTATGTGCGCATAACGGCAATATGGATTAAATTTCTAAACATGCAGCGCGTATATGCCAACGTCAATTAGCTCAATCGCGATTATGAACATTCGTAAATAAATTTCGAACGAGGTAAAAAGTACAAAGGGATAAAGAGAAGAGAGAGAGAGGAGAATGTCGCGTTAGCTTATGCTGAAATTATCTCGACTGAAAATATTTCGCGAAATGATTTCAATTTCGCACAATACGCTCTATTATTTTCGCTAAAGGTCTCTTTTCTAAAGGACTCTAGTCGTCTGTCAAAATTGAGATAACACGACCACGCGTGGGAAATTCTTCTCGAAATATTAACTACGGCTAAAAATTTGTTTAATATTTGATATTTTAATCTTCCTTCGCCCTTCGCGAAAAGTAGAATGTATATTTTGATTTACGTCCTTTACTTCATAGAACGCCGCGCGGCGCACGTGAGATATATTGTAAAAGTTGCGCGCGCGATCCGTTCCACTATGCTCCCGTATCTCGTATTTTATTACAGACGGATCTCAATGGGAAAACGTTGCTGACTCGCGCGCGATTATGCGCGAAAATTAAAACCGGCTGACTCGCCTTGCGAAGAGGCTTGTGCATCGCGCGCCATTCCCATTATCGCCGAAGGACTCGATGCCCTTGTACGTTTTGTATCAAGCAACGTCTCGCGCGCGAAATTAAATTCCAAGCCGGCGACGAAGGACGTCGGTTACGCTCGACGACAGGCCCAAGAGAAACTTGAGGAGGCACCTCCTTAGGAATATGTTGAGCAGAGGAAGTTAGATGCGACGGACGGCGTGCAAAATGATAGTCGAGCGATTCTAAGAGAACGAGAGAGAGAGAGGGTGGAGGGAAGAGGGACAGAGACACAGAGGGAGAGAGGGAGGGAGTTTTGGTTAACGATACACAGATTCCATCGGACAATCGACTTCTGAATTACTTAAGACTCGTTTGTTTACATTTCTGCCGCACCCTCGTGTCATGACGACGGCTCAAAGGAAAATTAATCTACTGTCGTACGGCCGACCATCGATCGATAGTGGAAGAAGACGTCGTTTAATCAGACGCGGTTGAATAACCGTGCAGCGGGACACACGATATATACGTAGACGAAGCGAAAACTGGAATGGCTGAATTGTACGAAAGATAGACGGATAGATGTAATTTATTTCGTATCTTGGGATTCGCGTCTCCGCCCTCGCTCTGGGGACGGGGTGTAACTAAAACGGCAAAAGGTCAATACAAACAAAAGGGAATAAATAAATGACGATAACAAATATCCAATGTAGAACAGGAATAACAAAAATTGCATGTAAAACGGGTCCAATGAGAAAATAGTTGATAAAATAAAATATTGATATAAATAAATAAATAAAAGTGATATAAAAATAAAACGTGTCATAGAATGGCTCGGAGATTGCATTCGCGTGCACAAGCGCGTAAGTGACGTTAAGAAGAATTATCGAGCGTGAGACAAACGAGAGAACGAAAACAAACGACTAATGTCATTGCGAGCGACGTTCTCATTAAATAATTACAATACCGGCGAGAATGCCGCTAACATTACGGTAGGAAATAGCGCTGCGGGCAGGGTAGGTCTGCAGCGAGCAGTACGGTAAGCATAGCGCGGCGTTGCTGGCAGATCGGCAACAAAACACGTTTCGTGTGCCGCGGGCTTAATGTGTAGATCGTGTCCCGTTTATCTCTCCTGTGTCCATATCAAACGCTACAAAATCGTTACCTCGCAGTTATGGTTGAGCGGAAAGATAACGCGAATTCTGCATTATATCACGAGTTCAGTGATATCCGAAACTAATAGTGGGAATATTCGACGTCGATCGATTACCGGAGGTGTACGCCGCGCGCGGGGAAATTGTATTAATTCCGTAAATTTTTGCCGAATCTCCGTCCAATTAACGATCCCACATAAAAAAACATTTTCGCCGGTCGACGCCGCCGAAACGGTAATCCAGCCGAGATTCATTTTTCACCCACCGATGGACGCCGTGAGGCGCGGGCGTTTGTTGCGATTGTTAACGATACATAGAGCAATTTTATTTTTATTCCGCGATACGCGAAATACCCTCGCGGAATCTCGATGTTACCGCATAAGCCATTGAACAGTCGCAACCGCCGACGAGCAAATCCGACGTCTTTCTCGGTGTGGCGGAATGTGGGGTCGACGAAATCACGGATTTGCTACGTAGGGTGTCCCAGAATCACCGAGATGCGATATCAACGCAATCCTCCGTAAGGAACAACGGAAAATCGAATCAAGGAGAATAGCAGATATTTTAATAACATTTCCAGCTGCGCGCGACGGTATTCGATGTGAAAAAGAATGCGATTGCCTTACTTCGTGAACGCAAAGGCTTGTTCTTCAATTAATTTCAACGAGGCATAAATATAACGGCGTTTTAATTCAACGCTCGATTCTCACGGCGCAAGTATTCCCATTAAAATTTATATTTAAAAATTCCCAACGAATAACGTGACTTCTCTCATGAAACGCTCGTCAAGGAAAAATTTAGCTGGAGTTCGCGTTGAATCTCGACGGAGAGATGTCCGCTGGGACACCCCGCGTATCAGCTTACTTACGACATCCAATAGCATGTAACAGTATTGGTGCGGGGACGCGATATAGGCAACAACGAGAATGTCGCTTCCTTCGGGATCGATGGCGACGATCCCTCCGCGTATCGAGCGGAGAGATCGAAGCGGGAGAATCGTAGTGATAATAATTCTGCCGTCATAACCTAAAAAGCAGTATCTCCATTTTTTGGCCATTGTAGTTAACTCACTGTCTATGTTTCTCAGAGAAATATCCGTTGTCCTACAAGGCTAGAAAGCAGTAAATGCACTAGATTAACGTAAAATAATTTATACACGTTGCAGTATGTCCACCTGTTATCAGCAATTCATAAGCTAAACCGCAGTAAGCGCTGTCTACAAGCCTTAAAAACAGTCTCTCCCACTAATATTGGAGTTACTGCTTTTTAGGTCCAGTATCAAAGTGGCTAGTTAGCTTAACTGGTTGTTAAGTAATGATGCCAACCACTGATACAAAATTCGGTAAGCTATTTACGAGGGTTGGATGTTAACAAGTTGCATTTTCACAAATAAGCTTAAAAAAATATACATATATATACCGATATATTTGTGTACATATATTGTGTTTATATATACATATTGTATATAACCTTGTAAATAGCTTATCGAATTTTGTATCAGTGGTTAGCATACACTACTTAACAACTAGTTAAGCTAAATGGCTACTGCGATACTGGGTCTTAGTCTGGCAACGAGCGACGAAGTTAACGTTATTGTACGACAACATAACCTCTCATTCCGTTTCTTAAATGCGCGTTTTCTCAAAACTAACACAATTTGGGAGCTACTGCTTTCTAAGTCAGGAGGGCGGAATTTTAATACCAATGACGGGACACGTGTTACCAATGACTCTCGTCGCGGCAGGCGAAACGGCGCCCGGTATTCGCAACGGCACCTCCGGACGTTTCTTGCGAGTCGCGAGTCTCTCCATTCGCTTGGTGATACGATAGACGAGCGCGCGCGGCGGCACCTCGAAAGGATCCCTAAACTTCGGCTCGTGTCGGATCGTGGGTAAGGCTAAGAAATACAGTCGCTCCATGTTGATCGGCCTCCACTTCTTCCTCTTACCCTGAAAATATCGGAGCGCGCGATCGATCGATCGATCGAGCGAGCGAGCGAGCGAGCGAGCGGCCACGTCGCCGGAATTCGCGACGCGTCCAACATTTTTATCTAGATCGATTAATATTGATTTATGAGGGAGCGACGTCGCTTACGGGCTTCCTTCTTTTGGGTCTCGCGGCGACTTTGGGCGCAGCTAGTCTTTCCAGAACCCGCATGTGCCTTTGCCAGTCTTCTGGTTTTGCGAGAACCCTGTGCAGTTTCGCCAGTCGTTTTCTCCTGGATGTGAGAGAGAGAAAGAGAGAGCGGCGGGCATTTTATCGCGGAAATTTGGGTTTCAAGACGCTTTACCGCGGAAAAATCTCCCGGAGATTGATTAACGTTCCATCGGTGGCTTAAGAAGACTTACGTCATTAGCGACTTTGCGATTTCATTCACGTCGGTTATACAAATTATCGAGCAAGTGAAAAGAATGGCGATGTTATCGCAGGTCCGTATTGCAATCGTAAGAGGAAAAAATTCTTACAGTTTTTCTTCCAATAATTAGATGAGGTCAGAGATTTCGAGAGCGATAGAGATGTTTGATGTGATTTCAGAGATCGTTGAGCACCGGCGGAAAATTAAAGAATCTCTGTAAGGATGAAAAATGTGGCGGACTGTGGCGGATTGTGGCCGAACCTTCCGTATATATCGCGGTCTATCGCGGAAAACTATTAAATTGATGTTTCCGATTGTAACCTGATGATCAACGATCGTAACCATTGCAGTAACTACCCGGGGTAAACGCAATCTCTCAAATTTCATTGTGCACTATTAATAATTACTTCCGGTGCAATATCAGATGACCTTTCGTTAATTAAACGTAGAATTTGCATCCAATTCCAGCGCGATCAATACAGAAGGGTTTATAAGCTTACGTTTTGTTACTTGCCAGCCGGTATTGTTGCGGCTTTATGAAATCAAGCTAATTATTTAACGGGTAATTAATATCGTTAACATCTATCTGTGCAGTTGAATTATTTTCCCTGCGGCGGTTTAAGCCCGGAATTCCATTTCATCGAAATTCGCGACACCAAACGCGCGATAAAAAGTAAGGATAAGAAAGGAAGTTCGATACGATAAGCCGGCTGTTTAGCCCGGCGGTTTCCGGGGCGATTAAAATAGTCATGACGCTTCCCGCGTCCCTCCCGTGCGTCGTGGGAGATCGGTTACTCGTGTGAATATGAGAGATTGTGTGTCTAGGATGCGCGTGTCGTTCGCAGAGAAAAAGTGACGTGATGGTGGGAAATGTATCGGCCTTACTTTTTCCTCGCTTCACGTTCTTGACGCGCGTTGCAGAATACACGATACCGCTGGTACCGCGACTTTCGTACCTTCACCAGCAGATCGCTCACGGTTGCCTTCATGTTTTTGGTAGCTGCCAATTTCATCGTCTCCAGCAGAAGTCTAACGTTTAAGGTATATCGCTCTTGAGTCACCGTATATATATCATCGATCAAGCCCGAGCTATCAATTTTCCGACGCTATCGAAGGTGCGAATAATGTTGAAAATATATACGCAAAAATAATGTTCGGTGCTTAGACTTTTAAATGACGTCCCCCTAAAAGCGGGAATAACGTAACAAATATCTGAAAGTGCCGCGATATCTCGCCAGCTTTCCCCGGTAATATTAATCTAAGATTTATTTTCAACTCAAGTTTCTTATCGAGAGCGTCTTCAGCATCGAGGAAATAGATGTGCACCTTCTCTTGGGCAATGCCAGATCGACGATACGCTTGCTGCTCCTCGCCGCGAGCGTCTTGGGGTGAATGCGCGGGTAAGGGGGCGGCGCCGCTCTGCGCGATAATAAATTTTCTAGAGGACTCGCGATAACCTGACGAGTACAAGAGCGGACGACTGTGCACTTACGCGGGATCGTATTTCTTGGTTACGAATTTCGGTTGCGCCATAACCCGGATGCGCCTCGAGGCGCGGCCCCTGCGAGCCGCGCGCGGAACCGTAAAAGGACGCGCCTGCAAAAATATATATATATACACACATATATATATAATATATAATATATATACGTCGATATAAGTATCCGAGAAAAGACACAAAGGCCCCTTTAGTGCGCGCGAACGCCGCTCGAGCATCTGCTCCATCGATCGTTTTCAACTGAACGTTTTTCCGCGGGAGGAAAGCTCTGTCTCTCATAACGACTGTTTGATTTCACGGCGGATATCTCAACTTGTATTTAACGTCCGGAAATATTCGGAGCAGGTGACGTCTCGATTCGATTTTCTTATTTCGTGCAATTTCAACTGCAAAATCCGCGTTTACTCGCGGAGGGAGCCCGCGCCGCTGCCCCGACACTAAAGACGCGATCTCGGTTCTCCGTTAATGAAGTCCCGGGGCGGCGGATCGAGACATCGAGGACGCGAGTGATACCGTTGTACCGTCGGAATGCGCATTTCAATCCTCCCCGATATCACGGGAAATAATAAAATAAAAGAGTGAGAACGAGTCTACTGTCCTAATCTAAAAAGCAGTATCTCCATTTTTTGGCCATTGTAGTTAACTCACTTTCTGTTTCTTAGAGAAATATCCGTTGTCCTACAAGGACATACTGCAACGTGTACAAGTTATTTTATGTTAATCCAGTGCTTTTACTGCTTTCTCGTCTTGTAGGACAACGGATATTTTTCTAAGAAACATAGAAAGTGAGTTAAGGGAATCCTAAAGCCGTCTGTTTTATCGACATTCTTTGTTAGAAGTAATCTTTTAATTGGCTTTATAAAAATGCAAAACTTTTTTACGGAATTAAAGTACGCAGCAAAATCTAGACTATGCTGTTCGACTTTATATCAAAAACGAGAAAAAATGAAAAATTTTACTAATTTTTGGTACACTTGGCAACAATATTTGCTCGATACAAGAATTCTACAATAAATATATACAAAATGAGACCAGCATACTCTAGGGACAACATATAAGAACAATATCGTCCAATTAGAATTGAGACTAATAGCCTAGAAAAAAAGATTACTTGTAATAAACACAAATCCAGAAATCCAAGTCTAGAGGAAGAGAAAATGAGCAGTGTGGTGTGTCGAAATAGTTGCCGGCTTTTTCGAGAGAGGTCGCTGCCAAACATACATTTAGATTGTCAGTAAAGCCATAGTGTTGACGATGCTAGAATTCGATCAAAAATCTCGGTCTGAGCGATGTGTAGCTAATAAAATTGCTGCTCTTTCGTAAAAGTTGCAAATTGATTGGCTATAAATTTCTCGGACCGAGTAGAAGTTGGAATTAAAACTGTCGATAATTAACTATCTTATCGATACTGATTGAGTTTGCCAGCGGCTTTAGGATCCCCTACGGCAGAAGTGTCCATAGGCAAAAGGCTCCAGTTTTTTTCGCATTCGATTTTGGTCACAAAGTAGGTACCGAACGAAAGGTCTCGTCAAGCTGATTACAGATACGTCAGTCTCAGAGTGTATATATTTAACGTTCCAGAGATATCGGACTCCAAAGGTTTCATTCCAGTTTAAACAAACGGTTGGTGTCTGTCCAGACGGCTTCATCGCTTACGTCCTAGGAATTTTTGGAACCCAATATTTCTGGAACGTTAAATAGGTACACTCTGAGACTGACATATCTGTAATCAGCTTGATGAGATCTTTCGTTTGGTACCTACTTTGTGACCAAAATTGAATGCTAAAAAATGGAGCCGATCTTGTTCTCACTGTTTTCAAAAAATAAAAAAAACGTTCCTTATTCCGAGTAAGCGTAAACGAAAGAATATTGTCGTAGAAAATGGGCGTGCGTACCAGGACATGCGGATCGACTCTGCCGAGTCTCCTCCAGTTCGGACGCGCCAAGAGCGCGGTGTGTTCCTTGCGCGATAAATGAGTCAGGGCGTATTTAACTCTCAGCGAAGGCATCTTATCGCCGCTGCTCTTTTTCGCTCCTCGTTTCCGTCGGATTTTCCCGGCGCTCGGCGCGCTGATGAGCAAGCGTTTCCGGTATGCTTAATTATTAAATTATACCCGCGTCGCTTTAACGATCCCCGGGCGGGAAAACAATGCGTTTCACGGAGACCCGCGGGTGAATTGTACCGAAAATTAACTCGACACACTTTCGCGGCTAGCACCGTAATTTTTTTCGCCGCCGTTGAGGCGCGGGGGATGTACCACGAGAAAATTTTGCGGGACTCGGGACAGCGCGTGACAGAGGGATCGTGGATGAACAAAATACGAGCGGGTCGAACGAGCTCGAATTTTATTTCACACCGCAGTTTTCAAGGCTGTCTCGGCATTAAACGCGGCGCGCTCTCTCTTTCTCCCTCGCGTGCACGTATACTCTTCTAAAAGCGTTCTACGACGAATATTCCATCACGTTGAGGACCGCGGGGGGTCGCGTATAACTACGTGACAATGTTCTAACTACACATGACAACGCAGTAAAATTCGCCGCATAAACGCGCCCGCGCATTTGCATTCGCCGAATATCTGACAAACTCCAAATCACCGGAGAAATCTGCCGTAATAAAGTTCCGCCGGTGTGTATGACAAATTAACTGACGCGTCAGTGATTTTCGCGCGCCTGAAATATAGCGTTTCGCGAAAAATATTTCACGGCGCGCAATTGTATGAAATAACCCGAGTTTCCCTCGGGCGCCGCTTAAAAATGCACGCGGGAAGATTGAAGAAACAAGGATCGACTAACCACGTGCTATTATGCACTCTTAACGCACGACGGAAAGAGTCGAGAGGCTCGTAAATTCACGGGCGGACGGCCGAAGGGCGAGAGGAGAGGATGTGTCATTTTCTGGCTCGTGCAAATCGAGGTCTCGACTCGTAACGCGGATAAAAGTTTATCCAATAAAGGGATCTTTTAGGGAATCTATTGGTTTTATTCGTATCGAATCGTCCACGAGAACGCACGGGCCATTCAAGGATCCCTGGTTATCTTTTTCTTTCCCCTCTCTCTCTCTCTCTCTCTCTCTCTCTCTCTCTCTCTCTCTCTCTCTCTCTCTCTCTCTCTCTCTCTCGCTCCCGCTCTCTCGCTTTTCGGTCGCACTTTCGCCTCTGGCATCTTCCCTTATAGCTGCTCTCCTAGTTTCGACTCGTTCCACCGTTTCCGCTTCCCTCTGGCTCCGAAACTGACCTCTCTCTCTCCCTCTGTCAACCCCGCATGGGAAATCTCAAATACGAGTCTGTTTACCTGGCACTTGAAATCCCGGTGGATATCGATGATAAGATTTCGCCCCCGTCGCCCTCGCCCTATACCGCTCCACCGCGTCACGTTTCCTGCAACCCTTCTCCCTTCCCGTCCTCTTCATGGCACAATTCTCCGTTTAGATTATGCAATTTGTATCGCGCGTGTTAACTACCTTTGCGGTCCAACCGTTGCGAGCGCAATAATAGCTCTCGTCGTATCAGGTCGCTGGAACTTCCCACGAGAACTACGAATTCGTTCTGGAAACGTACGACGCGGATGATTGCGACATGATTGATCTCAGGATGCATACGTTACGTTACGCGATATTATTGGGATAATTAAGGCTTTCGTCATACGAAATCGTGCAATTTGATATTCTGTATCAGGCACGTAACGAATCGAGTCAGATTGCAATATTGGTCTTGTTTCAGGAAAAGCGAATTCCGTCAATCATTATAGTTCCAATTGCACTAATATTCGTATATTTCTTACCTTCAAATGATAAGCGTGAGAAACAGAAGGGGATCCTAAAGCCGCTGGCGAACTCGATCAGTGTCGATAAAATAGACGTCAATCATCGACATTTTTAATTCCAAGTTCTACTTTAGGGCTGTGATTGGTTAAAAACATATTAAGAGTATACTTAAGATGGTCTTAAATACATAGTAAGAACGGACTATGAATGCCGGTCTAGACCTCAGACTTCGTGTTCACGATGCTAGAATTTGGCCCTAGACATTTATAGCCAATCAATTTGCAACTTTTACGAAAGAGCAGCAATTTTATTAGTTACACATTGCTCAGGCCGAGATTTCGGATCGAATTCTAACATCGTCAACACCATGGCTTTACTGACAATCTGACAGATGTTTTGGCAGCGACCTCTCTTGAAAAAGCCGGCAACTATTTCTATACACTATACTGCTCTTTTTTCTTCTAGACTTGCGTTTATTAGAAGTAATCTTTTTTCTAGGCTATTAATTTTAGTTCTAATTGTACGATATTGTTCTTATATGTTGTTCCTGTTACGGACATTTATGAGCGGATACTATTAAGCCCAAAGTATTGTGCAGATCAATCCCCTCTGTGGGAAAATATTTTCACTCTACTTGAAACTTGAAATCGTTGTAGCCGTGAGAGATGAAGTTCAGCCATCTTTTACAATAGGCTTTACAATCGGAAATGCTAGTTTAAAACTGTGTTTTACAACACTGTGTAACCGCTAACAACCGCTAACAACGCACGTTTACGCAATTGTAGAATGGCCTTAACATCAATATTATAATTTCCTACTCAACAATTGATAAATGTAATATAACACCCATGTTATATTACATTAATATTGAAATTATGCAACTGTTACTTAAGGTGTTCACTGGGTTATGGGCCGATTGCTCGCAGAAGCACTTTGAGGGTTAATATTATTTTATAGAACAAGTATATCTTAACAAAAAACAAGATGGACATAAATGCCACAAGGATTCAAATGTGCTATTAAGTATATGAGGTCACCGACCTCTGCAAGCAAATATTTATTAGTAAAGTCAAAAGATACAATGTTTTGCGAAAATTTTTACAGCTCTTTAAGACTTGACAATATCGCATATTTTTAAATATGTTTTTAAATGTGCATTTATATCCTAGCATATCAATGCATTTGGTCAATAGTGCATTAAGTAATATTTTTTAATTAAAAAAATCATAGAATTTATGGAAACCAAAGAAAGGGACCCCCGACCAAAGCACCCATACTAACCGCTCTTTCGTGCAGGAGCCACCTTAATTTAATAGTAAAAAAACTCATCCTTCAGAAATTTTTAAACAAATGCTCGAATCTCCCATTTGCGGTCGTGCGAAACAATTTTTATAAAACGCAGATTTTTCTCCGAATAAATCAAGACACGGAGCATTAAAGCGAAGCACATTTCTCTTAGAAATAAATCGTAATGTTTTATGGCTGATGCATTTTAACCATGGTTTGTGCGCAAATTAATTTAACAGAGTGCAAGCGAAGTGAAAAACCCAGGATCAGAGACTACCCAGCTGTTTTTATCGCAATGCACAAAACGCAATGCATACGTGTTACGATATATTCTCTTTAATAGTTCAACTTCTCCCGCGCTATTTTTTTCCGTATTTTTAAAAAAATGAAAATATCGAGTGTAATAATTTTCTCTCGTTCTCTATCTTTTTCGAAATTTCTTTGATTAGATGTCGCGATGCGGCGATAAGCGGGTTGCATCAACCTAGGCGGAAATGTTGTTTTACAAAATCCAGTAGAGCTGAAATTTCGACTTCGGGAATATTCGTCCATGGTGCGGATGAAATTGGGATTTGTCGGATTTGTGGATGCTCCGCATTGCGCTACGGCGTTACGGATATCCGGATTTTTCAATATAGCAGGTAATCTCAATCACGCTCTCCCCCCCCCCCCTCTCTCTTTCTCTATCCCTTTTTCCCTCTCTCCAGTTCTCTCTCTCTCTCTCTCTCTCTCTCTCTCTCTCTCTCTCTCTCTCTTTTTATAACATATCGTGACGCGCAAACCGTATTAATTTGCACCGGAATATTTGCCATCACTGACGTTTGAAATTTTATAATATACATACACCACTCTGGATATACATATACGAAACGCTCTATTTTTCTCGTTATTCGGCCGTTCGCAACTTTTCCTCTTCACACCGCTCACGCCAGAATAGAGATAATATGCCCAATGGAAATTCCGCAGATACCGCTAACAACGGCCTCCTCGCTTTCCATTTGATTGGCGAGTAACATATTAAACCGGCCAAGGGAAGAAAGCGCTTCGTTGTTCGAGCGCTATCGATTTGATCGCGATAGCTTCTCGCGGTCCACGTGAAAAATTCAGGCGCGCAAAATCGACGATTTACCAGGAGAAACTATTCGCGGGGAAAAAGGATCTGTCGGCGCGACGATTAATTTGTCTGCACCGATAGAAAAATATGTAGTATTTAAAACTATAATTGCATAGTAAAATAATTATAGTCAGGAATATCACCTTTATAGTAATTATTACTATAATATTAGTCATAGCAATCATATATTATATGCGCAACGTCACTTTAAAATAAAAAGTAATATGTCACTCACTGATACGAGTCGCAACAGCAAAGTTGTACATCGCTAATTGTATATGTTAAACTAACAATACAAAAATGTATACGATTATTATAGACTAATTATGCAAAATCGAAACTGTTGTATTAAATATATTTTATATTTTTTTATATTTTATATTTTTAAAATAGGTATTTATTAAAACAATTATATAGAATACTGAAAGTCTTCTTTTTAAATATGAACTCACAAAATTTTATACGCATGGTTTTGTCTCTAACACTTATTCGAATGCTCGTTGGAATCATTTGAATAAATAAAATAAAAGCACAGAACAGATAATTCATTTTGCACAAGTAGCAAATAACAAAAATGTAAGACACTTATGTACCTTGCGATTTCTCTGCCGTTGCTCGATCCCGCCTGCTCCTCCTCTCAAATTTTCTTGTTGCACTTACACTCACAGCACTAACTCGCGAAATTTCGGACACTCCCGTACGCGATGTAAAATACCGTGAAATGCAGTAAGCGACGTTCTTTACTTCCTGCCCGTTCGAGTTGCGAAGAACGACAGAGCGAATTACAGCGCGAACGCCGAAGTCGCACAAATATCTCTCTCTTCCCGAAAATGGAACAGGTTACACGAAATCGATAGATAGTTAAAAGCGCGGTGCGTAAACTTAACCGCGACAACGTACCACGGTTTACTTTCATATTTTAAATGAGTAAGGGCAACTTTCACCAAGCTCCGGTTAACACAAACGGTCTAGTGACATGCAGGATTGCAATCGAAGCTGATATATTTTCTCAACTCACATATTCTCTCCGATATCAGCTTCGGTTGCAATCCTGCATGTTACTAGACCGTTTGGCTTAACCGGAGCTTGGTGAAAGTTGCCCTTAGTCTCGTAAAATATCCATGTACGAGTACACGTTAATAAAGAGCCGTCGCCTCAACGAGCAATTCGTTTCTCATTACAAGTTGTAGAAACTTAATAATTAATCTAGTAGCGTTACTTGTCACTGATAAAGGAGTCCAAATCAATAGCGTTTTATCCTTACATTCTTCACGATCGAGTCTTGGAAACCAACAACGCAAAAACAATATCACGCACGGAGCGACTCGCGCCACTGCTTGCC